AGTCAAAATTTAGCATGTATTGAAGAGATGCATTTTGTCAGCTGCATTATGACAAAGAATTAGAAGTTACCAATTTTTCCAAATACATTTTTCCAAATAGCTATTTCTTAGGCATTTAGAAATTTAATTTGTCAATTGAATTTTAACTGGTATGCTATAACTAAAACTTATAAAGTTAAAAGAAGGGTTACAAAAGGGGGCTTGGTAACTGAAACATTCCAAACATTTTTTTAAAAGTTATTAGTGAGGGATGAATCTTACACCATGCTTTGGAAGTCACCAAACTGAAGGTGCAATCATGAATAGGCTGAAAATTTGAACAAAAGCCTTCACTTCCACATTTCACTGGTAAACAGCTTGAAAAAAAAAAAATCCCCAGTTGTAACAGTATTCCCCTAAATATTCTAGTTCTTTTGCTCAGCGTACTAAGACTCAGGCCTTCAGCTCTGCAGCACAGCTAATTAGAAACTCCCTAATCAAAGTTTTCTGAGCAAATGCAGAGCCCAAGATGTTTAATTCAAAAGATCCCAGAATTTAATGCTATGATAACCCTCTGAGATGTTTGCTTGGCTTTCCAGCATATGCCTGAGTTTCTGGCAGGCTGAAGATCTGGTGTTTCCTGGATCTGTGCCTCTGTCCTGCAGCCTCAGATGGGACCTGTGTGGCACAGAACTTCCATAGCAACGGCCCCGAGGCTGGGTTCACAGCCCTAACTGAGTATCCAGGGTTGGAATAATATAGGATGTGGTCCCAAACAGCTATTAAACTAAATCTTGATGCTCTGTGCCCACAGAGAGAATTAATTCAGGAAACACCATGACAGTTTCCTGATGAATTTTAAAATAGTTTTAAACCTAATCTGAAAACTAAAGTTTTACATGAACCCAGACAGACAGTGCTTTGAAGACATGCCAAAAAGGCAGCTGTCCCCAGCGACTGCTCACTGAGAAGAGGATCTGCTAAGATTCCAAAATCCTCAAGAGGAATATTTTTTGCTCCAGAAGGAAACTGCTCCCTCCCCCGGTGTATAGGTTGTCTTGCCTTCCACCTCCAACCCAATACCTCCAGGTTCCTGAAAATACTTTTTCAGCAATGAAAGGTGACAGGTTTAGCCTCAAAGAAAGGACTCCTACATAAAAAGAATTTGACCTACACAAATCTCATTTACGGGTGCTTTCTGAAACCTGCAGTTCTGTTCAAAGATAGGTGATCTCTCTTTATCCCTCCTGTTCTGCCTTCACTGCTTTTATAGTCCTTCAAATATACATCAAAGCAAAGGCTACACTACAGCCTTGAAGTACAGCGTCACAGGCTTTCTATGTAATTTCTAGTTAGAACTGCTGTTGTGCTCAAGAAGAGATAGTAGATGGGTAGGAGCAAGTAGAGGAGCTTGTTGACAGATTAAGTGAAATTGTAACTATGATGAACATTATTTCTGTATTATCCAGTCATAAAACAGAGATTGGTTGAAGCAAACAAATTAATGGTCCTTTTTTCTTTTTACTTACTGTGATTATAGGAGTGGTATTCCCTCCTATATTACCAGGATGAGGGTGGGGAAAGTTCTAATAGGAAGTTCCATTATCCAGGGGAAGTATTATATCTCCATAAGAAGTTTGTCTCATTTTAGACAGCAACTATCTCATATACTTTGGGTTAGGAATGGAAACACAATTTGAGTTGTGAAGGTGGTTAACTAGTGGCACAGTGCATTCCCCATCAGTGCAGGCTGAGCAGTGTGCGGGCAGCATTGACCCGAAGAGAGTGGAGCCCAGCTGCGGTTTGTGGCTGTTTTATGTAAGAGGTCACGGACCCGCGGGCCCTTCCCGGCCTCCAACACTTGCGTGACTGCTCCAACAAAGCGGCTGCCACTGTCTGTTGTGGTGCCATGGCGTGAGATCGGAAAATGTCGAAGAGAAGGAAAGACCTCAGTGACTTAGCGCGGTGGGGCCGACACTGAGCCGGCTGTGACCCGGGCAGGAGGAGACGCATTTAAAGCGCCGGGAAACCGCGTGTCGCGGCGGGGAAAGGCATTAGCGGGAACTGGGTCACCGTCCCGCCCCACGCCTTCCTCGCTGGATCCGAGCTTTTCCCGGCCTTCCCTGCTGGTTCCGCGCCTTTCCCGGCCCTTCCCGCTGTGTCGGCGCGGGGCTGGGCACCTTCTGCCGCCGGCGGCCCGGGCTCGGAGCGGGGGAGCGGGGCCGGAGCGGCCCGGCCGGGGCGGTGCGGGCAGACTGACGTCAGGAGGGGCCGGCCTGCCTGGGGCGGAGCGGGGCCGGCGGCGGCGGCAGGTACGGGGGGCACGGGGGTGGCGGGGACCCGGCACCGCCCGGGGGCCGCGGGGTGGGGGCGGCGCTGCCCGGGCACGGCAGAGGGGGCTCTGGGGGCTCAGCCCGGCCCGGGCCCCGCGAAGGTCAGCGGGGCCGGCCGGGCCGGAAGGGGGAGCGCGGCCGGGGCCCGGTGTCGGGAGCGGGGAGGGCGAAGCGCGGCTCTGGGGGCAGGGCGGCTTGGCCCGGCCCGGCCCAGCCCAGCCCAGCCCAGCCCGGCGGGCACGGAGCGGAGCCGCCGCTGTGCCCCGGCCGGGCAGAGCCGCGGACAAGCGGCCGCCGCCCCGGCGGGCCCGGAGCCCAGGGGCCTGTGCGCGGTGCTCTGCCCCGTGGGACAGGAGAGGGGGACCGGGCACTGCCCGCCGACTCCCGGGAGGGGCTGGAGCGGAGCCGCAGCCCCGGGAGTGCCGAGCACCGCCTCGGAAAGCACAGACAGCTCCCGGGGAAAGGGCCTGCGCGCAGCTGGTGCACAGCCAGGGAGCTCCAAAAATAGAAAACTTGCTCAGTTTAAAGGGGGAGGAGGCGGGTTACATTTGAACACTCCTCTGAGCTTCGTGAGCTCCACCTGAAGTTTGGGAATAAAGTCTCAGTGAGATGTCTGTGAGCACCGCTTGTCCCCGGGACTCAGCTCCACGGCCAGGTCTCTGTGGCTAAACCCTTTCCATCTCCACGGGTTGCAGGATCGGGTCCACTCTTAATTCAACTGCATTATTCAGAACTGCTCTAGTGATTACAAGCTGCAGGTAGAAACACTTAATTTGTTTTGAAGTTTGTTTTTCCTGCCAGCCAACTGGGTTTGAGAACAAGAATATTCTACGTTATATTCTGTGCAGAAAATTGCTGTTCCAGAGAGCAGGAAGGAATAGTCCCACCCCTTTGCTGCATTTACTCTTGAGTTCAGTTTAGAGCGCTACCACTTTTAGATTTCAGTCACCAAGGCACTTTTATTGAGGTTGGTGATAAATTGATCTATCTTTGGTTAAATCCCATTTTTCATTTTGGTGGCACTGAGCTAGTTTAACAAGCATGTACTACTCAGATGCATCTGATCTTGTCAGGGTAATTTCCAGCTCTGCAAATACACTTTTAAACATCACGTGGGTGGACTGTGAATACTGTATAGGACTTCAAGCGAGCCTTTGTGCTTAAAAAGGACTGGAGAAGAATACCTAATTGTTTTGCACCTCCTACTTTAAGTGCTGACAGATTGTTCTGTGTGATTCCTTGCTCACTATCCAGAGCTGAAGTTTTGGGCACTTAAATTCTGTGTTGGGAAAAGGTAGTTGTTGCATCTGAGGTTACATGCAAGGTGCTGTACAGCTGCTGAAGCCTCCTTTGCTGTAGTAGCCCGAGATATCTCTGAGACATTCTCCGTGTGAGCCTTTGTGAGACTCTGTAATCATATATTGGGGTGGTGGGAGAGGAAACTCAGGTCCTTTGTACCGTATTGTTACTTTGGAAGGTGAATTGCTCTCTGTTTCTGGAGCTCACTCTCTGTACAAGTGACAAGAGCCTGCTTAGACCCCAGAGCAGGAGAGGGTGACCACGATTAAAGCAGGACAGGATGTCAGTGGGCTGTCAGCTAAATGTTTGTTTTCCCAGTGAGCTGGTTCAAAAGCCAGGAGTAAGAGGTTTATCCTGGAGTCTAAAGTTTACCTGCAGGTGGTTCTCACCATCATACCCGAGCCTGTGCTGGATGTGGCAGTCCTTAAATGTGAAATCCTGATGGCTGTAGTCCTGTGTGCTACAGTGTTGCCCAGTACTCTGAAGAGGACACAGCCCCAAGTAATATCCAATAAATGGCATATATACATTTGTTGGAAAATAACTGGATGCTTACTAACTTTACATTTTACTAGAATATTACAAAACTCTCTTCTTTTTCTTCCTCCTCCTCGGCTTTAAACACACTCCTTTGTCTGGGAGGAGCTCTCCTGTCTATCAAATCTACTATGCCTCCTTCCACCCCCCACCCCCCTTTATGCTGCTACAAGTAGAGTGTTATCTGGTAGGTTCCAGTATCTGTCTCTCATATATTGGCTTACAGACCCCACAATAATTTCTAAAAAGCAGCCTTCTCAATGGAGACTTAAAATGCTTCTGTTCTTTTCTAGTTCAATTGCACCCAGATAGTTGAGTTTTTATTAATCCATTTTAAAACAATAATCAGAATGCCACTAGGCTATAAAATAAAAACTCATTTTCCAATATATCTTATGCTTGATCTCTTTTTTCAGCATGCTCATAAACCAGAGTGCAGTGGCTGAGTACTTAATGTAATGCATGATAACTTGAATTTAACACAGAGTCCTTGCCATCCCATTTCAGGCTTCATTTGAAAGCTGAGGAGAAATGAGAATCTTTATGGGCTTAACTTTTACTTATTTTAATTCTTCTTGGAGGGAGCTAGAGATGATTTGAAAGAAATACAAGTCATAAAACCAGCTTTCTCCTTCCCGTTTGAGATAAAACTGTGTCAGCTTTTGTTTTGGCTGGACTTGGAGCCAGTGAATGCAAAACACAGAAGAGGAAGTACAGAAAAAGAGAGGTAGGGTAGAAGTGATGGTGCTTAGTAACTTGAGACTGCAGAATGCAGGAAGTACACGTATGCGGAGAGAACAGCTTTGAAAGGAACTGGTGGTGAGTCAGGAAGCAGTCACTCCAGTCTGTCTCTTCCCCATTTTCTACGAGCAGTAGTTCCAAGTGCATTTTCCAGTTAAAGTGGTCTCTGACAGTCCATTGGATCGCTACACTCACGCGTTTCTAAAGTCCTCGGATACTGGTTGTGCCTTGCTGAGTCTCTTCAGCTGAGATCCACCGTGTTTCTCTGCAGGGTGAGCTGGGTACATGCAGCTAAAATAGATGATACTGAGATGCCTCTTTCTAATGTATTATTGTGAAATACTGAAAACTGCTTTTCTCGCTCTCACCTTCCTCTTCTGTCCACTAGATTAAGCAACAATGGCATTTGTGAAGAGCGGATGGCTGCTCCGGCAAAGTAAGTCATGGGTCTTTCTCCTCCTTTTCTCCCCACTGTGACTTCTTCAGAAAACATCAAAGCTTAGTAATTCCCAGGTTTTCTTAAAGCCTCCAGCTCTGTGGGGCTTTTTTGTTCCTGGGTTGGGGTTTTTTTTTTCCTAGTTCTGGGACACGTCACAAAATGACCTGTCATGACAGCATTCCCATGTGACCTTTGGGTACACAACTGGGAAACAGGATATACCATATCTGAGGTGTCTGACTGGCATTCAGCTTCAGATGCTGCTCTGTAATTAGTGCTGTATAAGTGGAGACTTGGAAACTTTCCCTGACACCCTGACTTAATGTCTTTAATTAGTCATGCCCTCTGCTTGTTCCTGCAGCAAGTTGGAACTCAAGGGTCAGACTTTGCACTTAAAATAAACCCAGTTTTCCTTTGAATCCTAATTAAAATAGGGAACCCAATTCTAGAATGTTCCCAAGTGAGGATGTTGTAGTAGAGGATTTTGCTTGGCACCTTGGAATGTCTGGGACAACTGTGAAGGATTTCTTGGTTTACTTTTTATTAACTTTAGGACACAAATACTTCCCAATGTGTGCCCTCAAAAGTGACTGTCTGATTTTTAAGGTACTATTTTACGTCGCTGGAAGAAGAACTGGTTTGATCTGTGGTCTGATGGCCGTTTGATATTCTACGACGATCAAAATCGCCACGATCTAGAAGATAAGATCCACATGCGAATCCACTGCATCAACCTCAGAGTGGGGAGTGAATGTAGAGGTAATAATGAAACCTTCAGGATTTGTGTATCCAGAGGTTCTTTACACCTTCAGTGCCTGCCCAGCACACCACTTACAACACTACTGCAGAAGTAAACATGTCCAAGAAATGTGGAACTTCATTGATCTTGAATCCCTCCACACCCCTAAGAAACCCCAACCCCACCAACTCCTAAATTCCTTTACACACACCCAGGGCTTAGTTTCACCATGTGATAGGTTAGGTTAGGATTTGGTGCTTCCTCTTAGAACTCAGTGAGGACAGTGTACCGTGCATGCAGATGAGAATGAGATGTTCACAGCAGTGATTATACAGTGTGATTATAGAGTGTTCCTGGTGTAAACATAGTGCTGGCTGGAGTGAGAGGCAGGACTAGAAATGGGAAACCTCAGCAGAGCTTTTTCCTAAGTTCACTTTTAGCATTTGTTAGTGCTTCACTTGATGCTGACACAAGGGAAAAACATGAATGCTGGAGAGTACTTTTAGCTAAGTATGGATGGGTTCTGCTGTAAGACACTTGCATTTCTTAGGAAAGGCGTTCGGAGCTGCTTACTTTCAGGACACTGTAAAGAACAAGGACAGGTTGTGTCCTTCTGTACCTTGTTCTGATGCCACAGAAGGCAGCTACAACTGGCCCTAATTTATTTTGTTGTTACTTAAACTGACTCCCTTCTTGTAAATGTGATCATGAAATTCTGGTTATAGATACTTCATAACTCATCTCTTTTTTTCTGACTCAGATTTCCAGCCTCCAGAGGGGAAGCAGAGAGACTGTTTACTGCAGATTGTTTGCCGTGATGGGAAGACAGTCAACCTCTGTGCAGAGAGTGCAGATGACTGCCTGTAAGTCTGCCATAGAATAATGTTTCTGCTGCCTCTCCCTCCTTTATCTCTCTTTATCTCTCTCTCCCTAATCATTTTCCTTCCTTCAAACTTTGAGACATGTTTTAAGAAAGTTTTCAAGCAAGTAAAAGCAGACTTTCAATGACAAAAAACCCCATAGCTCTCCTGTAAGAAATTGCCTTGCTCTTGCAGACTAACTGCAAGTTAAGTCACTGAAATGCTGAAGAATGAGGAGGAGCAGAAGAATCTGATTAATGCAATTAATGCAAGACTTGTTGCCATTCTTCAAGTAGTATATGACCCTGCATAGCTCAAGGACATCCCAATCAGTAGCTTCAAATACTCCATTTTTGTGAACTCTCAGCTGAGCTTGGCTGAGTGGAGTTAGATAACATCTATCACCAGTGTTTGCCAAGTTTGTGAGGTGCACTGAGCCTGCTCCCAGCACTGTGGCATAGGAGGATCTGTGTGAGGGGTATGGACCTCCTGTTCAACTGCAATAACAGCATCAAGACCCACACTCTAGTCAGCACAGAGGAACTATTTAGGCAGGGGATACAACTTCCCTGGTGCATCTCTTCCTATACTTATCCTAAGCACGACTGCACATTTCCTACCTGTTGTGCTTGCAGTGAGGACTTTCAAAACTGCATCCGTTCCTTCTCCTGTTCCTCCTCATTCTTTCTCAGCTCTGCAAAAAAAGTAATTATTTCTCAGTCTTGGTGTAACACTTGTGCATTCATTTTAGTGTATCATTAGGCTTTGACACATGCTGTGTCTTAAACTCTGCAGCCCTCTGGTTGCTAACCTTGTTTGTTTCATAGGCCTAAAAGAAAAAGGTGGCATTAATTTTTATCACTGTTCCACTGACCAATGGGGTTTTTTTTTGCAGGGCATGGAAAATTGCTCTCCAGGATGCCAGAACAAACACTGTGAGTGTCCTACCTAGACTTTATATGATAGAGACACAGCATATCAGTGTAATGTGTGGTCCAGCAGTTTACTTCTGAAATCATGTTTCCATCCTTTTCTGCTAGAGAAAAACAGGGTCATGGGCATGATGGTAAAGCTTGTGGGTGGGGAGCAGAATGATCCTCTGGATCACAAGAACATGTCATCCTTGCCGCTAAGTCCGGGCAGATACATGCTGGGTGGAAATGAGTGATTTCAGGGAATGATTTCTCTGGGTGGAAGTAAATGTTTGTGAAGCTGTTCTGTAAGAAAAGTTGGCATGAGGCTGTGGGCAACAAGTAAGCCTTCTGCAACCAGTAAAAATGCACTTTCCACTCCTAGTGTTTGTTGCCTCCCAGGTGAGTGCAGTCCTAAGGGAAGCTTAGTGCACAGCAGCTGCTTGTTAATGTGCATCCATCACACCCTGGGATGCTTCTTGGCAGAGACTAGGGGAGGAGCAAGAGATGCTTGGAGGGGAGTGCAGCAGTGCTAAGGAGAATATATTATTTCTGCATTGGCATGTTAGCTGTGGAGAGGGTCAGGAATCATAAAATCCATTCTGTGAGTCTTATAGAGAACTGTGTCTTTGGACAACCACTTGTGGGTATTGCTAACTCGTTTTTCCTCTAGACCGCCTTCCAGAGTACGCTGCAGTGGTCAGACTGAACCGACCCGAGGTGTTTCTGTTTCAGGGGAAATGCTGGGTTTTGTGGAAGCTTATCTCGGTTTTTGATGGGTCACATTAACATTGCCACTGTACTGAGGCATCTGTCAGATGATATAACTCAGATCTGTGGATACTCAAAGCAAACACTTGTCATGGCAAAACTCCCCTGGACACAATTGCCTCTGACTGCAGCTATGCCACACTGCCTATGGCCTTAGATGAGAAGTGAAGGATTTTTCCTTACGCAGAGGACACAACACTTGTGGAGTGTCTGCTCTAGTTCTAGGGGCTTTATCTCACCTGTGTGTGAGACAGTGACTTCTGGTTTCAGGAGTTAGGAGCTGCTGTTTCCATGCCTCTGACACAGCTACCACATGCCTCAGGACTTGGCAGTGCCAAGGCAGACCCCTGCTACTCAAAGTAGGGCAGGTAGGTCTCTGCTATCACTATGATAAATTAGCACTTTCTAAAGCTATTAAAGGTCTCCAACAAGGACTTGGACTAATCAGGTAACTGGGTTTGAGTCCATCTGTAGGTGTCTGATGCAGCTTTCAAAAATTCCAGGCATCCAGCAGTGCCTCCTAACTTAACTGGAATAGCAGGGTGACCTTAGCTTTGAGAACTGTGTCATTTAAAGATGTTTGCAGGCTTGTGCATTTGCCTGTACAGAGCTCCCTGTGGCAGGACACCTTTACTGATAAGATGTGAGCTGATTCCTCAGGTGATGGAAACACCACTTCAAAGAATATTTTAACATGTGTTTCAAGCAATCCTTAGAATCTCCACCACAAGTTTGACCTGAGATATAACCACAGTATGCTCTCAAATGCCTTTCATTAGTCCAGGAGACAATAGAACATTGGCTATTGAGTTATTGAAGCATTCACTTGTGAATTAAAAAGGGAAGCTGCATTTTGTCTTGAGAAAGGGCACTAAGAGCATCACTGTAGATTTCAGATATTAGGGGCAAGAATACTAAGGGTACTGTAAGAACCTTAATTATCTTCGAGAGCTCCTTCTAGATGAATTCAAGTAAGTTATCACCCTTGCCTCAGGTGCCACTTTTGGCTACTGCATTTTTGCTTTTATCTGCTCTTACAGAACTTGGTGATACCACTCTAGGGTGCCAGGATGCAGCCAACTTAGTTGGGAAGACTTATTTATCTGAAAATAGAGGATGAACAAGGGGGCAGTCTCTAAATCTGAGTTTATGAAATGATGGAAGGAGCCAGTGTGCTTGCATGGACACATATGCTTGTGTGTGTACACACAGAGGGAGAAATTTTATGGCTCCTTCC